CGATAGCCGAATAAAGAAATAATAACACATGATTAATTAATAGATAATAATAATAACGTCTGATCGACAACCGCATAATAATATCCAGTAATATCAATTAATTACATACAGAATTGTTCGATAAAATCAATGCCGATCAAATATTATCATCATCCGTTTATTATTCCAGTATTATTAGTTCTTTATTCGGTTGTTATTTAACCATTTTTATTACATATTAAAAGTAACATCAAGTTAAGTTGGTTCAACCTGAGTTGCTTCCCAATACGTAATAAAAATAGTTAAATGACAGCCGAATAAAGAACTAATAATACTCGAATAATATTTGATCGGCAGTAAGGAATTTGATCGTGACGTTTCTCTAACAAGTAAATGTAACAAGAAGTAAATGAAACGCAGTAATTACCTGCTGCGGTAAAGCCCGCAATACCTGTTCGTGTGATAAGTACGCGTCTCAACTCGTGTTAATTATCGGCTTGAATGTGCCGAAGTTAAAATGCGGTATTAAAAATCGGCGTAAAACAGTTTAGAAATAAACACAGCAACTCCGCGACGCGCTCGCCTCGGCGGCTGATAGCGTTGTGGCGTGACTCCCAAGCACGTGGTCGCGCACGCGTATTTACCTAACCGGCCGCGCGTCTCCCCCCCTCCCCCCCTCCCCACCCGACGCGCCGCTCAGTCAGTGGCACGAGCTGGCACGAGCTAGCCCGTTACGACGATTTGTTTACTTAGTCTCTGTTGAGCCTAGAGTTTCTGTTAGAGCCGTTGCCCAGGTATTGTTATTACCGATTATTCGATCATCATTCTTTCGTTATTATCCACTCGCGGATATTATCACACGATTGTCGAGTAGATATTATTATCAATATCATTAAATATTCGAGTATTATTACTTCTTTATTCGATTATTATTTAATTTATTCAGTTATTATTTAATTATTATTATTACGCATAGGAAAGCAACTCAGGCATACCGTTACGACAATTTCTTCAAAATTTTTCTGTTTGGAGTATCCACACTTTCGGTATGTGCAAGTTGCGGAATTTTTAGATTAGGTAAATATTACGTTAACTGACAGCTTAAGATTTAAATTAAAAATTTTTTGTTCGTTTTCGTCACATATCGAGCAATGCTTCTATTTATTTTTGCACGTACTTTCATTGCATAAAAACATTTGTAATTCTGTGTAACCAATACGACGTAAACTTTGCAGAAAAATGTCAATATTCTGTCGGTTAAGTTTTTAGCTTCAGCATCCCTTTAAGCGAGTCGATGTTAATGAGAAATGCAATAAACGTCGCGACAAACACTAGCTGTGTCAAAAATCAAGATTACTTTCTAATAACGTACTCACGATACATCCCGACGATCGCACATCGCTATTTCGGCACTCCCGATATTTATTTCCGCAAGCTCACTTTCGATAGACAAAAGATACGTAGAACGCGAAGCGATGTCGATCGCCAGTGGAGACTGCCGTCACGAAAATATCGATGTACAAGACGGCCACGCAATCGACGACGCAAAGTGCCGAAAGTGCGCGCCAGAACGTGAATGATGTCGCGGTTCGATAAAGATACGCTCTAACCTCTCTCAAGCTAGCAGGACTAAATCGAAGTAGAATCGAATTGGACCTATCGCATTTTTTAGCACTCATTTTGTACTATTTTTTACCACAAAAAAATTTGTACCACGTGCCATTTAAAAAAAAATGGTGGCGCTGCTAACTTGATATCAAGTTAGCAGGACCAAAAAAAAATAAAATAAAAAAAATAAACCATGGTACACACAATTAGTACTGAATTTGTACTAATTTGTACCATTCGAAATAAATCGAAAATTGTATATTTCTTTAAACAATCTCTTATCTAAACCTACTATAAAGATAGCAGGATCACGATTTTTTCACTTTTTCTTGATGGTACAAATTAGTACAAATTCAAAAACGATAAAATCTATCATTTCTTGTCGTTTTTTACCAGTTTTTATTTTATTCTCTTTATATTAAGTTAGCAGGACAACAATATTTTTTTAAATAGTACGGGGTACAAAATTATTTTTTATGGTACAAAATAGTACACAATGAGTAATAAAAAACGCAACAAATATAATTTGATTCTATCGATTTAATTCTTAATTATCGAAAGAGAGAAATTTTATTTTTGAGGTTGGTTAAATGTGAGGTTGTTTTAAGGGGTAAACAGAAATATTTGCATACTTTTCTCGGTGGTACAAATTAGTACAAATTCAGAAACAATAAAATATACAAGCACACATCACACATTACTACTACACTCATTTATCATATCGCGCGTGATTATTCACTAATCTGCTTTAATTAATATGTCGACTATTATTGCGAATATCGTAAAATGATATAGGACTTTTATGTTCATCTCTATCTGTTCACGTTCCCACAAAAATTACAGAGAAGAGTTTAGGATACCTTATATAAATAGATATTACTTAAAACTTGTCCAACGTGAGATACTTAGATCTGAATTAGAGTCAGATTTGAATTTTTTATATGAATGATAATATGTGCAATATTACATTTGTAGTTGCAATTTATCTGAAAAATTCACATTTAATTCTAAACTCATAAATCTGAGTATCTCGATTAAGGCAAGGATTTTAAGTAACGACTGTTAATACGGTCTTAGGTTTGTATAAAGTCATTATTTGGAATTTACTTAAGTTTGAATTTAGAGTTAGATTGAAATTTTTCATGTAAATCGTATTGATATAATGCAACGTTATATTTAACATTGTGGCACTGAAAAACTTACATCTAACTCCAAATTCAGATCTTAAAATTTCATTTGGAACAAATTTCAAGTAACAACCATTAACACTACCATTAACTTTACTCTTAAATTATAAAAAAAAATATTTTATCAAAAATTAAATTAATCGTCAAAAATTTATTTCGCAAGAAATACTTGAGAATAAATATACGAGAATAAACAACACATAACAATGGAAAACTCTTTCGTAACAACTCAGTTACTATCTTTATTTCCATCAGCTATATATAAATTTTGTAAGGCATCGATAGACACTTCATCCTCATTCTGTTCCTCATCCTGTCGCACTGTTTTCACTTCTACATTCGTCTCGTTTTGACTCTCCTGTAAGACTTTTTTCTTAAATGCAGAAATTTCACTGAGATCTTCGTTCTCGATTGTCACGCTAACATCGACCATATGAAAGTCCCTGTTCCTCGATAAGGACAACGCTTCCTCGTAGGGTGGCGCTATAGGAGTTTGCACCGGTTCGCGGTACGTGTACTCCTCTCCTTTATACTAAAAACATTTCCAAACAAATCAGGATAGAGAAAAGTGATAAAACATAAAAATAAGATAAATAAAAGACAAAGAAACTCACGTTTAGCGGATAACTCGTGTCAGAGTCGGGCTGACTAAAGTCTCCGCATACAACGAATGGGACTATGACTCTGTTGACTCCCGTCAGCTTTTGAAAATCGCACGGCTCGTGCTTTAGCAGAGGGTTCAACATGTGCGGCTCGTAGCCTTCCGGCGGTGAGTAATTCTTGCAGACCACAAAAGCCTCGATGCTAGAATTGCGGGAGCTGCTGGGTTTCGCGCAATAAACGTACGAGAAAAATATCCTCAGCTGAGCGAACAAAAATGTCACGTCCTTTGCACGGAAGATCTTCGCGACAAATGTACCACCAGGTCTCAAGATATGTGTAGTTATATTCAGAGCAGCCAGTAGCAATTGTGATTGAATGAATATGTCCATATCATGTAGACCAGTCACTGTAGGAATCCAAAATATATTTATTAATTATATAATCTAAGATAAATTTCGAATATATAGGATATTTCATAGCATATGGGAACCACTCCAACAATAGATGGAACACACAGAAACGATGAAAAAAGTCGCACAAATTCCACATGTTATGAAACACTCTGTATATTCTATTAGGTTTGGAATAAAAGATAACATAAATTATGTACCATCAGGCGCTCCATCGCATACGACCAGATCTGCTTGAGTGTTATTAAATTGTGCTATAATCTGTTTTGCTGTGTTGGTATTGGTAATGTCACCTTGTAGCTGAGTAACTCCTTCCAAGGGTGCCATTGCTTGTAGATCAACTGCTACAATTATAGGAGGAGATGGATCTGATGTTTCTGCTAGGGTCTTCTTGAAGTTCTCACTATTAAAAAAGAATACATAGAATGTAATTGAATATTTATAACTTATTTTATTGCTCTTAAATATTGAATTCATCCTTGAAATTCATTCTTTTCACATATTAAATTATATCCTGCATACTAATATGATCGTAGAATATGGAAACAATATTAATTGTTCAGTGTAAAAACTTAAATTTAACTGTTTATTGTAAGATAAAAATTGATGTTATATTTGTTCTGGAACTTACTTCAACTTGAGAGCTAAGACCTGACTCCAACTTCCAGGGGCAGCACATAAATCCACTGCTTTAGTTACTCCTGCAGAAATAGCATGCAATTAAAAAAATTAAAATGAAATAAAAGCAGGCTTATTGATCACTATTGTACACACCATTAAAAATCTGGCATTCCTGATCAATTTGGAGCAATTTAAAAGCACTTCGTGCTCGCCATCCTTCTTCCTTAGCCCTTCTATAATATATGTCACGCTTGTCTTTTGACGTTTTCCCCATTGCTATGGTGATATTTTCTAAAAATCACTCTTTCTATCTCAAATTTTTATTATAGAAATGTGCTTCTGTAATTATAGTAAATAATATTATATATAATTTCTGTATTAGCAATAACTTGTTATCAATACACATAGGTGTAAATTTGTAAACATGAAATTTTAAAGTAACACCTATTAGCATTACCAGAGAGAAGCCTGAGAGCGGTCACGCCATATGTTTTGGGCAACACCGATTTTCACACTTGATGCGCCATCTGCACCCATTTTTGCAAGTGGAACTACGTTCCCTATTTTTAGACGCCCATTTCCAGACACTGCCGATAAAATGTCGATTTGTTGCGTATCTATTCTACGTCCATTTTCTAACGATTCGTGTCCGTGCTAAGCGCATAATTGATATTAAATATAAATATTAAATATTTTATAAATATTTAAAGGTCCCAAATTTTCAAGTATAAAAAAAATTATAATAAATATTTAAAAATATTTATGAAAAATATTTAAAAATATTTATGAAAAACATTTTTCATAAATACTTTTATTAAAAAGATTATGATTTATGAAAGATATATGATAAATATTTTTCATAAATATATAATTCATACCTGAAAATCTCGAACATTAAAATATTTATAAAATATTTAATGTCTGTATTTCTAAAATATTTTGTAAATATTGCGTGCTGTTGAATTTCGGAACGCAACCTTAGTGTGAATTCTGCAAAATCCCGTTGGACCAATCAAAGAACTTTCTGGCGCCATCTAACAGAGATCTGGGAGAGCTCGCAACGCGTAGCGGGTTTCAGCCTTTTCGGCTTCCCTCTTCATGAGCTATTCGCATCCGTGTGATTGCATATGGCTGCGTGATAGGTGAGGTTAATCTCTGAGGAAAACAACAACGGTAAACGGCAATAAATCGTCAACAAGATCATGCGTGTATTGTGCTCGAAGAGTCGCAGATACAGACAGCTCCTCGTCGACTGACGCATGGAAGTATGCATGCCCAAAGGAGCAGCTGAGAAGACCATTCCAACACACACACTGCAGAGAATGATCCATCAGTCAGGTACTCTTACCTCTAAGCACTGTTAATGATGTATCTGCCGTTGCCGGGAAGGTAACGCGTGCTCCGCGCAGCGGACACCTTGTCGTCATCGTCGTAGGGATCAAACGCCAGCTCGCTCGCCGTAAATATGGCGCAGATACAGACGTCGACGGCGGACGGGCTGCCCAAGCACTTCGTCAACGCGATGCGCACGCTGTTCGACATAATGGACGATCAGAGCACCGGTTACGTCAAGTTCGCCGACATCGAGGCACGCTGGCAAGACGACGGTACGCAGGGCCTGCCCAAGGGCGTGCTGGACAGCTTGAAGAAGGTCACGCCGCCGAACGGCATGCTCTCGTTCGAGAGATTCTGCGCGGGCTTGAAAATCTGCTTGCTGCAGATCCAGGCAGAAGCCGACTCCAAGAAGCACGACGGCCAGCCCAACAGGCCGCCATCTGCGCCGATACTCATTCCAGATAGTCAGAACAAAACTGTGTGGACCTCGCCCAATACCGCCACCATAAGGCCCAACAATGCCATATCTCAGCAACGCACTCTCAGCATGCCACAGCTGCTGGCCAATCGCAAGGACATGAACGTGCAGCAGCTCGAGTTGATGGATGGCAGGCACATCAGCGAGCCGAAAATAGGCAAGGTGTACGGACCCCCGAAGCCGCCACGGACTGGCGCCGGCTTGGAAGGCAGAGCCTTGGCCACGGATCGAAATTTCGACAAGTCCGAAATCAGAACTGCTCTGCAGAACTGGCAAATGGGCCTGATGATGAGCGACGAGAAGGCGATGGAGAAGCGCCAGCTGCAGGCTGTTAACTATAGACCTGATGCCAGGACGCTGCTGAGACCGGCCAGAGCTCTGGGCGATGGTAAAGCGGTCGACATGCAGAGCAATCAGCTCGTACTTCAACCCAAGAAGGCGTCCAATCGTCGCAGAGAACCCAGGCGGCACACGTTGCAGAATGGTATTGATTACAATATGGTAAAGATGTTCTCCTCTAGGACTCCCGCTAACATACGGTGATTGGGTGTGCATGAGCCTAACCAGGGTTGTGTTGTAGACTTCGAAGTTTACGTGAATTGTTTATGTATTGTATATGTGATGGATGTATAAATAATCTTTCCTCATATGGACAATGTAAATGTGTAGGATATTGTAAATTTGGAAAGATAATTATGTTATTCTGCTATATATATATTTCAGTAAGATTTGATAAAATTATTCTATTATTTTGGTACCAAAATACTTAGTTACTATGTCTATATTTTGGATATTAATCGTAGATATAATATTTAAACAAGACAAATTGTATAAAACTTTCATTTTATTATGTGATGGATTGATAAATCTAACTCTGAAGAGAAGAATAATTAAAGAATTCTGTGGACTCTAACTTGTCTAGGAAACAACGTTTATAAATTTACATCATGATTCTAAAGGCTAAACAAAAATATGAGCTTTTCTTGACAAATGTTTCAATGAACCATACGTTTATTGAAAGACATTCATAAATTATTTATTATCTGTGTAGATAATGTCTCATAAATAGTTTACATTGGCTACACGTAGACATAAAGTATCAGAATTCGTGCATAAACGCCTAATCTCTAACCATGATAAGATAGTGCTGTAAATTTCAAAATCTACGCGGATTGTTTATGTCTATCTTTTTTTTTAGCTGAACTGTCTGAACTGTCTTGCACATTGGTGCAATAAGTTAGAGGGTAATAAATATTTTGTTTCACTCTAACTTAATCTCTAACAGTTTGCACCAGTTCAAGCAATTTTTTAGCTAAAAAACAGACCTATTGTCTATATGATTTAAGGCATAAATATTAATGTCTGGATATATATATATATATATATATATATATATATATATATATATATATATATATATA